TTGGTGGCTCCTCAGATTGAAGAAGTCCTTTGGATGAAGGACGAAACGTCTCAGTAAAAAATAAAATTAAAATAAAATTAAAAAAAAACATCCAGATGACCTGACTGAAAATTGTTGGGTTTTCAGTACAATCCAACATTTTTCAGTCAGGTTTGACTGAAAAATGTTGGATTGTATACCTGGATTATTGAGCATGGACTTTGTTGTTATCAGGATAATGTATTTCCCCACTTAAAATTTGGAAATATCTTGTCCCAAAATGATGCAGAGTCCATGCATTTATCTCCTCTAAGCTAAACTCAAAGCAGTCTGCTCCTCAGATTTATAGTGTTAACTTGTTTTTTTTTGTATATGTGAATGTTTGCATTCACAGTGCCCTGAGACAACTTTTATTGTGACTTGGCGCTATATAAATAAACTCAATTGAATTGAATTGAATTGTCTATTGTCTATAATCTGGTCGTCTAAAAAGTCTTCAGACTAACCAAAAAGCTGCTGCTAGAGTTCTTATGAGTTAGAAGAGATCATATCTACAGTTTAAGTTTATCTCCATGGGTTTCTTGTAAAATTCAAGTAAAATTTACAATGTCTCTTTTAACCTACAAAGCTCTCAAAAAAAAAAACAAGCTTCAACTTACAATTAAAATCTTATTGTTCCATATTTTTTTTAAACGAGCCCTTTGCTCTCAGTCTGCAGGTTTATTTGTTGTTCCTAAAGTTTCTAAACGTAGAATGGGAGGCAGAGTTTTGTTATCAGATTCTTTTCTTGTGGAACCAACTTCCAGTTTCTGACTGTGATGCTGACTCCATCTACTTGTAAGACTAAGCTTAAGACTTTCTCTTTTGATTATTCCTATAGCTAGGGTTGGCTTAGGTTTCCTGTAGTGGTGTAATGGTACATGTGGGTGTATTGAACCGTTTCAGTACGACATGTTCGGTTCGGTCCACGTGTGTACCGTTTGTTATTTTTCACTCATAAAATTTTATTAGCAAGAGATTATAAATGGTAAATGGACTGCACTTATATAGCGCATTTCTATCTTATTTCAAGATACTCAAAGCTCTTTACAACAATCTGTGTCCTCATTTACCCATTCATAAAACACTTTACTAGATCTCTACAAAGCTAACTGAACAAATCATTCTGAAGAGACAAATTCAGAGCTTTATCAAATTCAAACACCGATGGGTACACATCGGAGGCTATGAGGGGTTCAGTGTCTTGCCCAGGGACACTTTGACATGTGACTGCTGGTGGATTCGAACCCCCAATTCTCGCATTGGAGGACGACTGCTCTATCCACTCAGCCACAGCTGCCCCATTATTCACCCTGGAACTAAAGTTCCTAAGCATGTTTCAGCATGGCGCTTTTAACTGTCGCAGTCTTACAGCACGAGTAGCAGCCTAGCATGTTGTTGCGGTCTCCTGTTTGGGAACATTATGGCTTTCTTTTAAAAAGACAAGTGGACAAATCCAAAGCTGTGTGTCAATGTTTCATGGAGATTGGATCTGTAGCAGGCAAAACGTCTAACTATTTAACAGACTTGAAACGATGTCATCCTAACATGAACGTCGATTCTACAAGCAAGAAAAGCAGCTTGGTGCAAACACCGATAACAGTAGCATTTTAACAACCTTCATCAGGTAACTCAGATCAGTCCAAAGCAATAACACAAGCTATAGGAGTTTTTTATAGCTATGGCTCTATGTCTGTATTCTGTTGTTGATGTGCCGGCTTTAAGCATATGATTAACGTTTTTGAGCCCCGCTGCGACATCCCATCACATCAACACTTCAGCAAAAAGTTATAGCAGCACTTTTTATGAAAAAAGCTAAAACTGATCGTCAAAAAGCCCTGGACCAGATTTAAAGCGCTGCCACATATCGATGATGATAAGCGAGAGATTCAACCACCTCACATCAGAAATGATGATGTTCAAGAAGAGGTATCGTTATTGTATTATTATGATCTAATTAACTTTCTAAATTTTAAATGATAATCTTATTAATTATTTTTTATATACCCATTTGTGTTTTCAGTTTGAGGATGTCACTGAGATAGCAGCTGAGTCGTCTTCATCTTCATGGAAATCATCCACCAGATCACCTCCAGCTAACAAGTCTGTGATGATTGAACTCTGAACTTTTCCAGGGACAGGAAGTACCAAGTCCCTTTTGGATCAGGTCCAAGAAGAGGTTCATGAGTACAGAGCTTCAGGGTTTCCTTCCCTTGAAGCTGACTCTTCTTTGGTGGAAAGACAATGAGGACAAATACAAACCGGATTCCAAAAAGTTGGGACACTAAACAAATTGTGAATAAAAACTGAATGCAATGATGTGGAGGTGCCAACATCTAATATTTTATTCAGAATAGAACACAAATCACAGATCAAAAGTTTAAACTGAGAGAATGTATCATTTTAAGGGAAAAATCTGTTTCCAAATTTCATGGCGTCAACAAATCCCAAAAAAGTTGGGACAAGCCCATTTTTACCACTGTGTGGCATCCCCCCTTCATCTTACAGCAACAGATGTCTGGGGACAGAGGAGACCAGTTTCTCCAGTTTAGAAATAGGAATGCTCTCCCATTCATGTCTAATACAGGCCTCTAACTGTTCAATCGTCTTGGGCCTTCTTTGTCGCACCTTCCTCTTTATGATGCACCAAATGTTCTCTATAGATGAAAGATCTGGACTGCAGGCTGGCCATTTCAGTACCCGGATCCTTCTCCTACGTAGCCATGATGTTGTGATTGCTGCAGAATGTGGTCTGGCATTATCGTGTTGAAAAATGCATGGTCTTCCCTGAAAGAGATGACGTCTAGATGGGAGCACATGTTGTTCTAGAACCTGAACATAGTTCTCTGCATTAATGGTGCCTTTCCAGACATGCAAGCTGCCCATGCCACAAGCGCTCATGCAACCCCATACCATCAGTGATGCAGGCTTCTGAACGGAGCGTTGATAACAACTTGGGCTATCCTTGTCCTCTCTGGTCCGGATGACACAGCGTCCCAGTGTTCCATAAAGAACTTCAAATCGTGACTCATCTGACCACAGAACAGTCTTCCATTTTGCCACACTCCATTTTAAATGACCCCTGGCCCAGTGCAAACGTCTGAGCTTGTGGAGCTTGCTTAGAAATGGCTTCCTCTTTGCACTGTAGAGTTTCAGCTGGCAACGGAGGATGGCACGGTGGATTGTGTTCACTGACAATGCTTTCTGGAAGTATTCCTGAGCCCATTCTGTTATTTCCTTGACAGTGGCATTCCTGTTTGAGGTGCAGTGACGTTTAAGGGCCCGGAGATCATGAGCATCCAGTAGAGTTTTACGGCCTTGACCCTTACGCACAGCGATTGTTCCAGATTCTCTGAATCTTTTGATGATGTTATGCACGGTTGATGATAACTTAAAAGTCTTGGCTATTTTACGCTGGGTAACACCATTCTGGTATTGCTGCACTATCGATCTGCATAACAATGGTGGAATTGGTGATCCTCTTACCATCTTGGCTTCTAAGAGACACTGACACTCTGAGAAGCTCTTTTTATACCCAATCATGTTGTCAATTGTCCTAATTAGTGTTCTTTGGTCTTCCAGCTGTTCGTTATATGCTCATTTTCCTTTTTTCAGCCACTTATTGCTACTTGTCCCAACTTCTTGGGGATTTGTTGACACTGAAATTTTGAAGCAACGTATTTTTCCTTTAAAATGTTACATTTACTCAGATTAAACTTTTGATCTGTCATCTATGTTATATTACGAATAAAATATTGGCATTTGCCATCTCCACATCATTGCATTCAGTTTTTATTCACAATTTGTTTAGTGTCCCAACTTTTTTGGAATCCGGTTTGTACAGCCACTCTCTATTCCTGCTACCGGTTAGTGAGCGGTTTTCTCCACCACTGGAGATATTCACTGCAAGTAGATCTGTGCTTTTGGCAGAAAATGTGGACAAGTTGGTCTTTTTGTCCAAAAACTTAAAACTTGATTACTTACATTGTAAACAGTCTGTTGCTGCTTATTGTTCTGGTTCTGACTGTTATTGTATTTATTAAGATTTTTATTATTGTTAGTATATTTATTGTATAGAGTGCCATTTATTTAAAATATAATCCAAATGGGTCACTTTTATTTATTTTTATACAAACATATTGTTTACTTGGCATATTTTCAAAATAAACATTTTGTAAGTCTTTATTTTGGCCTTTTTTGTAACAAAAATTGACCGAACCAAGCTCTCCCTGAAACCGAACCAAACCGAAATGTGATTATAGCGTACCGTTATATTCCTAGTTTCCTGAGTTATCACTTAGTTCTGCTGCTACTTGCTTAGACAGCTGGAGGACGAGCAGATCATATTTCTCAACTGTGCTGCTGTCTTTTCTTGCTCTACTCGCCATATCATATTTGTAATCATTTCCATCATTACTTTGTTTTTTTCCTCATTCTTTCCATAGTAACTACACCTGACCTGATCATTCTTTTTATGTCTTTATCTGTCCTCTCTAACCCCAACCAGTTGAGGCAGATGGTTGTTTATCCTAAACCTATTTGAGTTGGAGGATTCTTCCTGTTAAAAGGAGCCTTTTTTGTTTACTTTTGCTTATGTGTTGCTCAGGATGATGAAAGTGAAGATAAAAAATATTTAAAAAAAAAACTAATCTGTATTTTATAATGTTTTTGAATGTTTTTGAACAGTCCCCTGAAATGACTTTTGTTGCGAGTTGGTACTCTAAAAATAAATATAATTTAAATATTGAATTATTTATGTCTGAGAATTTTAATGCAAAGATGATTTGATGTTGATTTTCTTTTTAACAGCAATATTTTTTCATATTAAAGATATATAGTAACTGTGTAAGTGTTAGTGTAGGTTTGCACATAAAACATGAAGACATTTCATTCCAAAGTTTTCTTAGAATCATATTTCATTGCAGAACTTGCTGAAATGAACAGAAATTGGAGGTGTAACAAAATGTCATTGAGCTCATTACTTCTGGTCGAGGCCGGTCAGCTCCTTCCCAGCATCCTCGTATGCAGTGTTAAGAGCTCTGTGGATTTTCTGCAAGCACAGATAGGAATAGGAATCAGAAATCTGTTATGGCTTTATGAGACCTGCAGAAAACCAGTAGAGGTACATTTAGATAAGCTAATATTCTTCTACCCAGCTGCACAGGCCAGCTGTGACAGCTCTTTTTTTTTTAAAAAAACAAAAAAACTACTTAAGTTCTCCTTTGAATTAAAAAAACCTTATATGCCTAAAATCTTAGGACCCATTACATAATCAGTTGCTTAAATCCATTTTGATTAAAGAGGTTAAGTTAGTCTGACCATCTCCAAACCAAGGTGTGCTTTATTTTTTTAAATTTCCTGCTGTATGTTTGACAGTCTCTGCAAAAAATACATTTTTTACACATTGGAATAATCACATGGCACAAAACAGAAACATTTTATCAGATAGCTGTTAGTTTGGTGATGGATATTGGGAGGCTGCTCTGAACTGGCTGCACTTTCAGAGATATAGCAAACAAATATGAAGAGTCTAGATGCTCAAAATGCTATTTCCATTATTCACACCAAAAACTGCCATGGGCATCTCATTTAAAATTGGTTAGGGCAGCAGAAACAGACAAGTGACCTTTAAGTTTATTCTTTGGGGTTTTTTTCTAACTCCTACAAATGCTTGTGTGCAGAATGAGATTCTGCAGATTTTATCTAATAATCAACATGTATATTATTAGGTAGAAATATTTTTACATTAGCTCAAATTATATAGTTATTTTAAAAATCTGACCAAAATCTGGCACATAACATTTGAATATAAAACTAGAAAGTTCCTGAAGGAACTTCGATGGGGACTGCCACATTGCAGCTATTTTAAAATGCTGATTTGACAATACTAAGTTTTGGGCATTGCTCTCAGCTACTACCACACCAGATTTCAGCTGAATGGCTCTAAAAACATTTGAGTTATATCCATTTGATTATATTTTTGGTGGCTATCTTGCATTTATAGATTTGAATTCAGAATTAATTGTGCATTTCTGTGAGGTACCACCACATCAAATTTCATCTCAATTTCTTTTAAAATAGCTGCCTTAACGTATCGTTTCCCTTTTTGCTAAGATGGCCATTTTGGATTATTAATTTGCATGAGGAATGTATAACAACTAGCTCTCAGCTACAACCATACAAAGTTTCATCTCAATATCTCAAAGAAAGACTGTTAGTCAATTTAGAGTTTTCTGAGTTAGCTGTGGCAGCCATCTTGAACCAAATTGGCTCCAAAAGTTAATCAGTGTTTTGTTCAGGGACCTCTCAACTCTAGGTCATGTGACCTCATTGAGGCTGTTGGAGGCTCTGAAGAGTTCTGTCAGTGTTTTCAATGAGGAAAAGTTGTGTTGTTAGCAAATTATGTCACCATGGTAACTAGAAATGCCAATAAAAGTAATAGCACACGTCACAGAGACAAGCCGGGCATTTTGAGATAACATTTGTGAGTTGAGGTTCGGGACACATTAAAGTTTAAGGAAGAGCAAGACCCTTTTCAGGTAGATAAGAGGAGGCTGCCTTCAGGCAATCCCCAATGATTATGCCCTTTTTTCACAGTGACGGCTCGGATCAGGTCAGTTCAGCTCGGTACGCGTTGTGTTTCCATTAATGATGCACCAATCCACATTTTTTTTACTTCCAATCCGATACCTAAATCTAAATATCGTCCGATACTGATCCAGTTCCAATATCATCATCATAGCTTTTATATGAGGCTGTAATAATCTCCTCTCAAGTACAATTTATACAAATCTATGCATGCATGTCCAAAAAAGCAACTCTAGGTAAGTTTTATTAATGTTGGATAAGTTTGAAAGTTAGAATTAAATTCTGCTAACACAAAACATGTTGCTTTTTATTCCAAGCTTTAAAGTGGATATTAAAGTGATTAATTAAAGTGATTGTTTAAAGTTTTTTTTTTTTTAATAAAGGGCAGATATAAGATTTTTCTTCTTTCTACACTCTTTTCATTCGATGTTTTCTTTTTGATGAATTTGTTTTGTGTCTTTTAAATTAATGAATATATGAATTAAATAAAATAAAATGTTAAATGGCTTTAAACCTCTGCTAAGTTCATGGCATAAACCAACAGACATGTTCCTGTTTTTAGTTATTTACATCACTTTATTCATACAGATAGTCTCATTGAGCCATGAGAACTCATTTTCAATAGGGACCTGTTTAGGGAGCAGATGGTGGTTAAGGGCCTTGCTCATGGGCCCAGAGTGGGGCGAATGAGGGTGGGGGCAGGTGTGGGTGCTTCACCTACCCCACCCACATTTTTGATATTGTTGGTTCTGGGGCTTGAACCGGCGATCTTCCGATCACAGGCCCACCTTTTCTAGCCTCTGCGCCACCACTCCCCGCAATTTATTTTTAGCTTTGATTTAAATTTTTTTCTTTTGTGATTTGTACATCTGTGGGTTAGAATAATGTTGAACTAAAGGCTGTATCTCTTCTTTAAACATGTTTGAGGAAAATATTCCAAAGAGATCAAATATTTTTTTCTTTTTGTGATTTCATCCGAGTTAACTTTAGCAGATTATTTAATAGTCATTAAAGTGAACACATGTGTTCATGATAAAGCCAGCACAGTTTTATTTTTTTTATTTTCCCTAATAAAAAAAAGACAATATTTTTTATACATAAAATGTTTTTTTTAATCGTTTCCATCCTCCGCCCGTCTGCCAGGATCGGGATTTGGCCTTCATGATCATGCGAGTCTTTGAGTCAGCAGCTCAAATGATCCTCCGCGGTGACCGGAGCTCGAAGCCACAGAAGCACAACAAAAATGCCTGAACTTCAGCATTCATCCTATTTGTAAAAAAAAAAAAACAAAAAAAAAACCTGCAGTATGACTTTTTATAATTGTTTGTTGTTGTTGCTTTTGTCCATTGTTGTCATTTTTCTTTGTTGAAATCAGGTCTCTTGTAAATGAGTCCTTGAGGCTCAATGGGATTACCTGTCTAAATAAAGGTTGAATGAATTAGACCACGGTTTGTCATTATTGTTTTTAAAATCTTAAAAATAGATCCAGCTGCTGTTCTGAGTTCCGAGTAATTGCAAATGGCAGATGGGTGAAAAGTTTCTTAAAGATCCAGTGACTCCTCCCCCTGACCAATCAGTGACCAACAGTGTTCTGACGTCACATTTTTTGTGCTGGCTCGGCTCGCTTAGACCCTTTGAGAAGCAGGGACAAAATAGGGACCTGTTTCACAAAATAATGATAATGGAAAAGCGCTCAAAACCGTAGTGAACCGAGCTGATCTGATCCGAGCTTTCACTGTGGAAAAGGGGGCATTAGTCTCAGATAAAATATAACTGTGTACACAATTTTGTTTCACCACATGTACCACATGTGGTACGAATGACAATAAAGACACCTTGACATTGATAATGACGTTAAACTGACAAAGAACTAGAATGTGTGGTTTTAACCAGTTATCAGAGCAGCTTAAAAGAATGTCAGATTGTTTAAATTTCCAAGATAAATTATGGGCAACTTATTGAGCCTAATTACATCATTAAAGTATTTTATTCACATTAATTAAAGTAATATCAAAGGTCAAACTGTATTTGTCCTCAAGGAAAAATGTCAGATTTTCTGTGTTATTCTGCGTTTTAAACACTAGAAGGCACACATCACCTACAGGCAAAGCATATACGACTACGCCACGGTTGCAGTTGGATTTCGGACAGTAAAATTAAAGTTACAACTGATCTTTGATAGTTTCTTTAATGTTAATCACAGCCAAAGGTGATAATGTTTCACCTGCTTTGGAATTAGCAAAAATATTTTTTTAACCAGTGGACAGGCTTTAATGAAATTCTCAAAGTAATCATTGAATGTACACTGATTAAGGTTTAGAGTCAGTCCGATACAAGATGGCTTCCAAAGCCAAGTGACTAAAAACAAAACATAAAAATTGTTATCATTTTTAAGATATTTCTCTAAACTTTTGTGGTACGGGCTGAAACTAATCTCCTTTTTATATTCTGAATGCTTCCAAATTGCATTAGATTCACAATGTTATTTAAAATTATCAATATAACCATTGGCTGTAGAGTTAATTAAAATGATCAATATAACCATTGGATGCAATGTTATTTAAAATTATCAATATAACCATTGGATTAAATGTTACTTAAAATGATCAATATAATCATTGGCTGTAATGCTATTTAAAATGATCAATATAACCATTGGATGTCCATCCATCCATCCATTTTCTTCCGCTTATCCAGGGTCAGGTCATGGGGGTAGCAGCCTAAGTAGGGAGGCCCAGACTTCACTCTCACCAGCCACGTGGTCCAGCTCCTCTGGCGGAATCCCAAGGTGTTCCCAGGCCAGCCGAGAAACATGGTCCCTCCAACATGTCCTGGGTCTTCCTCTGTGTCTCCTCCCGGTGGGATGTGTCCGGAACACCTCACCAGGGAGGCATCCGGGAGGCATCCTAACCAGATGCCCGAGCAACCTCAACTGGCTCCTCTCGACGTGGAGAAGCAGCGGCTCTACTCCGAGTCCCTTCCAGATGACCGAGCTTATCACCCTATCTCTAAGGAAGAGCCCAGACACCCTGTGGAGAAAACACATTTTGGCCACTTGAGCTCAAGCATCCTCCCCACCATTGCCGCAAACTCACCACTAGGTAGTGGTCAGTAGACAGCTCCGCCCCTCTTTTCACTCGAGTGTCCAAGACATGCAGCCGCAGATCAGATGAGATGACAACAAAGTCTATCATCGAACTACGGCCTAGGGTGTCCTGGTGCCAAGAGCACATATGGACACCCTTATGCTTGAACGAGGTGTTATGAACAATCCATGACAAGCACAGAAGTCCAACAACAGAACACCACTCGGGTTCAGATCCGGGGGGGCGTTCCTCTGAACCACACCCCTCCAGGTCTTACTGTCATTGCCCACGTGAGCATTGAAGTCCCCCAGCAGAACAAGGGAGTCCCCAGGAGGTGCACTCTCCAGTACCCCCTCCAAGGACTCCAAAAAGGGTGGGTAATCTGAACTGCCGTTAGGTGCATAAGCACAAATGATAGTCAGAACCCGTCCCCCCACACGGAGGCGGAGAGAGGCTACCCTCTCATTCACTGGGGTGAACCCCAACATACAGGCACCAAGATGGGGGTGCAACAAGTATGTCCACTCCTGCTTGGCGCCTCTCACCAGGAGCAACTCCAGAGTGGAAGAGTGTTCAACCCCTCTCAAGGAAACTGGTTCCAGAGCCAGAGCTAGAGCCATGCGTATAGGTGAGTCCGACTATTCCTAGCCAGAACCTCTCAACCTCATACACCAGCTCAGGCTCCTTCCCCACCAGAGATGTGACATTCCATGTCCCAATAGCCAGCTTCTGTAGCCGAGGATCAGACCACCAGGGTCCTCGCCCTCGGCCACCACCCATCCCACATTGCACCCGACCTTTTTGGCCCCTCCCACAGGTGGTGACCCCATGGGAAGGGGGCCCATATCTCCTCTTCAGGTTGTGCCCGGCCGAGCTCCATGGGTAAAATCCCGGCCACCAGGTGCTCGCCACCATGCCCCACCTCCAGGCCTGGCTCCAGAGTGGGGCCCCGGTGACCCACGTCTGGGCCAGGGAACAGAGAGTTCATTTATTTTTCTCATCATAGGGGTGTTTGGGCTGCACTTTGTCTGGCCCCTCACCATTGGATGTAGTGTTATTTAAAATGATCAATATAACCATTGGATGTAATGGTATTTATAATGATCAATATAACCATTGGGTGTAATGTTATTTATAATAATCAATATGACCATTGGATGTAAAGGTTTTAGAAACTCAAGTTTCAAGGTTTTCTGTCTCAAGATGGATTCCACAGCTAATTTACATTTTAAAAACACAAAAGTTGTTATAAGATGGTCAATCTTAAATATATTGGGCTCAGAATTGATGTGGTAGTAGCTGTTAATCACAATACATACAGTATATCACATCACATAGCGTATTGAGCATGGACCTTTTTTGGTATATCACATGGTACTGCACAAAACGTTTTCGGTTTTGACCAAAACTTTACCATTTCTCAATAAAAGATGATTGGCTAAAACTCTGGCATGAAAGGCGGTGGTCAACATGCATTTCCTCCAAGGATTGGTAGGCCTTGAGTGAAAGAACATGCATTCACCCACCTGACTGGTGTGTAGCCAGTACTGCAGAGTTGGCGAGCGCCGGAGGTGGGGTATGACCAGGTGATAAAAGGTGTGTTCACCTGCCAAGGTCAGCAAGGCTCCGCCAACCCCCATACACAACAACACAAACAACCCGGAAAAATGCTGGATCCCCATCTGTAAAGTCTGAGGAGGCAGTTGCAGAAAGAGAGAAAACACTAAGAATGTGGATGAAGGGAAAAAAAAATCAGTGAAACATTGAGCCAACAAAAATACAAAAGCAAATATTCAAAAAGCGTTCAATACAAAAAGCAAATATGATTTATTTATATCAAATAAGCATCATTAAGGCCACTGTATGTGACTGTTGGAAAACTGTGATCAGTGTTTTGTGCTGTGCTAAAGGACATCTCACCCTGTTGCCATCATCCTGCCTTGGAACTTATCACTTCTCTGTCCCCGGGGAGAGACAGGGCTGATACAGTCTGGAGCAAGAGAGACTCACTGTCTGTAGCTGGAGCCTCTGACAGATAAGAGCTGCTAATGTTCATGTGTGCATAGCACTATAAACAAAGACAGGTCCAAGAACAACGCAGTTCAACTGTGGACAATGTACTGGTCATTCTGTGAAAGCTCAATGATTCTGTGCTCATCTGTGTTGGATCTCCTTGCATGAGAGTGAAGCTGGTTGAATCTTCATGCCTCTGAGTCTGTAGTCATTGAATGAGCCTCTTAATTATTTTTTTTAACATCTGGTCCTCCGAGCACAAAGTCCAACATCTTTCCTGGGCTGCCAGGTTTGGATCAGATATTGTGCACAGAGAGTCTGGGACTCCAAAATTAAAAGTCCCCCAGCCGAATTGCCATTCACAGAGGCCTGAAATCTGCCTCAGAGGAGTGTGATGGATCCAATTAGAGACTGACCACATTGGCTACAACTGGTGAAGAGCAGATTTGTATTTATATCTGATATATTTTTTTCTTTTTCTTCCGGTTGAGTGAATACTGGCACATCTGGCTGCTGCTGCTTAACGGTTGTTTTTGAGGTTTTTTGAAAAATTTGTCAAGAGTTTCTGCACTGTTTGACAACGGACCAGATTAAGATGTGGATCCAGAGAGTGCATGTGTGGTCTGTACTAACCTGGGCTGTTTAATCCATTGTCCACCACCTGGTGACAGCTCTCCTTCAGTACACTGCCATAGAGCTTTTGCGACTCCAATTCCACCTAGCTGTCCCTTCACCTGTGGCTCTTCACCTCCATCCAGACATCACTTTTAATCCCCACTGCAAGTACATCCACCAAGGGTCCCAGCGAAACTTTAATATCAGTGACACTAACAAAGTAGAACCCTTTTGATCCAGAACTTGTCGTCCTCCCTGTAATACTGACAGGGCTGTCAACTGCAATGTGTTGGCCCACCTGGCTAGGTTGGCTAATCCTACAGTCAAGCATCGCAATTCCAACATAAACTTTGGTCTATTAAACATCCGCTCTCTCGCTGGTAAGGGACATCTAATCTGGGATCTTCTTTTTGAACACAAGTTAGACTTTCTTTGCTTGACTGTAACACAGCAACATCCCAATGACTTTGTTTACCTCAATGACTCAACTCCACCCGAGTTTGTTTACATACATCTGTCACCCTCACAACTTTGGTAGAGGCAGAGGTCTCGCGATAGTTCATCAGAAGCACTAGAAAGTCCTCCTTCTCCCCGTCTCTGGCCCCTCTTCTACTCATTTGAATACACCGCATCACAGCTCCCTGGATCTACTCCTATTATTTTATGTACCATTTATCGGCCACCTAAGCCAAATAAGAATTTTTTATATGACTTTGCTGCTCTTCTCACTCATCTCTCTGTTCTCTCTCCCAGTATTATTATTGTTGGTGACTTTATTTTTATTTTTTTTACCTTTTATTTATCCAGGTAGTCTCATTGAGCCACGAGAACTCATTTCCGTGACTTTAATAGTCACATGAACAATGACAACCTCCTCTCCAGAGAATTTACCTCCTGTCTGGAAAGTTTTGGACTCCAGCAATACATCAAATTCCCCACTTATTCTAAAGGGCATATTCTGGATTAAGTTCTGCTGTCACCCTCATTCACTGCAAAGCCAATTTGTTTCCTCTTTCTGATCATGTTTATTTCTTTTGATGTAAATATAATAGCTTCCAAAACCCTTACTCCTCATGACATTACATTTAGGAAAATTAATGAAATTGATCCTGATATTTTCTCATCTCCTTTAAATGACCTTCTGTCTATTCACTGCTCTTCAACCCCTGATGAACTCACTTCCTACAATAACATCAACCTCCAAAACCTTCTCAACACATTTGCTCCACTCAAACACAAATTTGTTTAATTTTCTTGCTCAACACTATGGTTTACACTCAACCTGCATCATCTCAAAGCCAAAGGACGCCAACTGGAATGTCTGTTCAAGAAAGCTGGACTCACCATACATAAAGAAATATATAATAATCATTTTGTTATATTGTCATTATAAGGACTGCATTGTCTCAGCTAAATCTGAATACTACTCTGGCTTAATCAGTTCTAGTGAAGGTAACCCCAAGTCTCTGTTGTCTTTGTTTGCTAAAATTACTAAGCCCGAGGACTCATTGCCCTCCCACATGTACTTTGCTGACTTTTGCAACTCTCTCATGTCCTTCTTCACTGATAAAATGTTTAATATCCACCAACAACCCTGTAGGAGCTGCTAACACTTACGTTGACTCCATTCTCCCCACTGCCCTCCTGTCATTTACTTTCAATTTTCACTCTTCCTTCCATATCTGATGTAACAAATAGTCATAAATCAAAATCATCCGGCCAGCTCGACCCTCTTCCAACAGTGTTAGTTAAAATGTGTCTCCCTACGTTGGTTCCTCTCATAACCATTATCATTCACTCTCCCCTTAAGACTGGAATTGTTCATCTCTGAAAACTGCTTCTGTCACTCCACTTCTAAAAAAAAAGCCTGGTTTGCTCCTAATAATTTTGATAACTTTCGCACTAATCTTACTTTTATTTCAAAAATCCTTGAAAAAGTTCATGCCTCCCAGCTCCACTCACACCTCAATAAGCATAATTTTTATGAACAATTCCACTCTGGTTTCCGCCCCACCACAGTACAGAAACGGCTTTATTAAGCATCACCAATGACCGTTTAATGGCAGCTGATTATTCTCTTCTCACCATTCTCTTTGATCTCAGTGCAGCATTTGAAACCATTTCTCATAATATCATCCTGAACAGATTAGCATCCATTGGCATTTGTCAAACTCCACTTGCTTAGTTTACCTCATATCTTTCAGGCTGCACTAAGTTTATTCAATTTAAATCCCATTCCTCAAGTTTGTTTCCCATTTCTGCAGGTGTGCCCCAGGGTTCCATATTAGGGCTCCTTTTATTGATTATTTACATGCTCCCTCTTGGCCACATATTCCACAAATGTAATATCAATTTCCATTGCTACGCAGACAACACCCAGCTCTACATTTCCTTAAAATCCAATTCATCCCTTCCACCTATCTCTGTCGAACTGTCTTATGGAAATTAGATCATGGTTTTCCTCTAATTTTATTAAACTTAACAGTAAGAAAACAAAAGTTTTACTTATTGGCACAGCCTCCACTTTAACCAAATCTCAGAGTATTTTATGATCACATTTCAATCTCATTAATTACATCACCCGGTCTGCATATTTTCACTTGTGCAACATTAACTGACTCCGTCCCTTTCTTCAACCTCATGCTGCTGCCATCCTTGTCCATAGCCTTATCACCTCCTGGATCAATTATTGCAACTCTGTTATTTTTTGGTCCCCTGAATAAGTATCTCCATAAACTCAAACTCCTTCAGAACTCTGCAGCTCGGGTCATAAATTGTACTACATCCAGAGAAGATACCACCCTGGTTCTGCAACAGCTTCACTGGGTGCCCATAGAAGCAATACATTTCAAAATTTTAACTCATGCGTTCAAGTGCATCCATAGCCTTGCCCATCCTTATTTGTGTGATCTGCTTCACATCTCCACTGCTTCCTATTCCCTCAGATCCTCATCTGCAACTCATCTTATTGTTCCTTCTGCTCGTCTCCATGGGGAACAGAGCCTTCAGTCACTGTACTCCTCTGGTCTGGAACGCTCTCCCTCCTGTCATCAGGAATACAGACTCCCTTCCCTCTTTTAAATCACAGCTGAAAATACACCTGTTCAAACAGGCATATTCACTTTAACTTGGTTTTAAGTGTTGTCATATCATGACTTGTTTTATATAATTGCTTGCTGATTTAGTTTTTATTAATTGTTTTTATTTGTTTTGTAAGGTGACCTTGGGTTTTTGAAAGGCACACTGAAATAAAATTTATTACTACTACTACTTCTACTATACCTTGATCTCTTTAAATGTGTGAAATCTTTTTATCTTTTTATCTGTTGCTGCTGTTGCTGCTGTTACACTTGAATTTCCCATCCGTGGGACAATAAAGGCTGTTTCTATTTCTATTTCTATTAAGTAGCTTTAAACATCCTGATGCATGCTCAATAATCCAGGTAGAAAAATCCAAAAAAGTTCAATCTGGTCCTCTGGACATTCAAAAAAACAAAACAAAACAAAGCAAATCAACAAAAAAATGTAGAAACGTTTCGTCTCTCATCCGAGAGACTTCCTCAGTCTGAGGAGCTGTATTCAGCTCAGTCTCTTAAATAGCACCGTCTCAGAGTGGATCAACCAGTTTTGCTGCTGACAACCAAAACCAGCTGATCACATGCTCAAGAAGGACCATCAGCCTAACAATGGATCATTAGCACACTGATGGCTGTTTACTGTTCACAGAGGGCTGAGTGATACTAGCAATCACAGCATTGTAAGAGGGGGACAATTGAACCCGGAGGCCTCCACCCCTGTTTAATGATGGACGATTTCTTTTCACAAAGATGGCCTCCTTTACTCCTCTCTCAAACCATCGTTCCTCTCTGTCCAGGATGTGAACATCTTCATCC